GTGACAACCCATGCCTCCGCTCCTGCCCCTGTGCCCCACCCCGGGGGCGGGAAGGAGGGTTCTGGCCTTTTCTGACACCAGCTCACGGGAGAGCACGGGCAGGCCGATCCCCTCCCTTGTCCTCACTTAGAAAGGGGTGGTCTACGCCAGTATCGCCCAAGCGTCACAGGCCACCTTTCCATACGGTGTATCTTTTTCCTTAAAAAAATTTTGTTTAACATTTTAAAATTGCCTTGTCCTAAGCAATAATATCTATCATACCATAGGCTTAATGTATCAGCTGTTATTTCTACTACTAATTAAGAGCCATGGCAATAAGAAATGTTCACCCAGGTACCACCTTAAAACCACCTTGCAGGTAAAGGCACTCTAGGTGACATCCGAGCAGAGTCCAGCGGGCCCGTGTTCTCTTTAAACCATTTGGTGCCTTCAGTATTTATTTATTTATTTACTTATTTATTTAGGTGCCTTACATATTTAAATAATGGCTGTGTTCATTCCTTTAGCCAAGACCTATGAAAATCTAGGCTTTTGTGCGTGTTTACAAAAGAACTGGGCCATCTTAAAACAAAATGGGATCTTTTAAATTAATACTATTTCCTTAAGTGTATGGAGCACACTGACTTTTCTCTGTCTCCTTTGTGTTCAAATTTGGTTAAAGGGGCTTTAATTCCTTGGCAGATGGCATAGTCATTAAGCGAGGGACTTTTAAATTCTCTCCTACTCGGCTTTCATTTTACCTCTTACCAAGGGCTGTGTGACGTAGGATAAGTTCCTTAGCCTCTCTGAGCTTCAGCTTCCTTGTCTATGAGATAGGGGTTTGAGTCTACTTCCTGGGCTGCTTGTGTTGTTTCAGCAAGATGGTACAGGTTCGTGGAGTCCTTGCCAAGAGTCCAGGCTATTCGCTGAGCCCCCTCCTTCCACTGTCCCCTGCTGGTTCCTGCAAGTGAGCTGTTGTCACCACCAGGTGGCCACCTTCCCCCACTTTACTGGAATCATGGGCGGTTTCTGGCTGAGCCAGAGGCCCCAGCCTTATTGTTAGAGGTGGACGCTGCTCTGGCCCGGGCTCCACTAGAGGTCAGGGTTTATCCAGCACCATCTCCACGTGTGCAGAGGTGCCCTGGGGTCAGGCGTGTGAGAGAGGAACCCTTTCACTGAGGTTTTGGTGCATGATGCTGTCAGCCTCTGCGTGCCACTGTGCACCAGGCACCGCTCCCCTCATGCCCACCACTGCCTGCAAGGGCGGTCACTGTGGAATGGGGAAGCCATTGAGGCTCAGAGAGGTTAAGCGACTTGCCCACGGCCCCAAAGCAAGACATGGCACTGTCCGAGCTGGAACCAAGGTCAGCACAAGATTCCCCCTGAGGATCATGGGGTGTGCTGGGCAGCTGCCCTAGGGAGTTTCCCCGACTCAGTTCCCAAAAGCTGTTCCCAAGACCTGCCTGCCAAAGCTTAGGCCTGCGTCTGCCTGCCTGCTCCCTTTCCAGTCGTGCCCTGTTCCTTAGGCCTTGTCTGAATGGCTTGTGAGTCCACCAGCCATTTATCTGTTGGGTCCTACGGTTTGGGAGGAACGAGGTGAGACCCCCAGTGCCAGTTAGAGCCAAAGTGCTTTGCCCATAGTCCCACGGTGACCAACAGAACTCAAATTTAGTCCCAGGTCTGTCGGAGTGCCACTGCCCAGACCGCTGCACTCAGGACCTCAGGACACTCCTGTGCCCAAGGCTCCTGGGTGGGATCCTCAAGACCTGGAAGTCCTTGGAGGTGGGGACTGCTTGCTCTTCCCACTGAGGCTCTGGGTGGGAGAATCCAGCCTGCTCTGCTCTTCCCAGGCCACAGCCATATCGGACACTCAAGGAGTCAGACAGTGCAGAAGGCGAGGCAGAGAGCCCAGAGCAGCGGGCGAGGGAACCCGTGGGCCCCGCCCCAGCTCCCCCGGACCGGGCGGCCAGCGTCGACCTCCTGGAAGACATCTTCAGCAGCCTGGACATGGAGGTGCCACTGCAGCCCCTGGGCCAGGCCAAGAGCTTGGAGGACCTTCGAACTCCCAAAGACCTGAGGGAACAGTCGGGGACCTTTGACTATCAGGTACGGTGGGGGCGGAGGCGGGGGCGGGCCAGCTGGGACTGGAGCTTTCACGCCTGCCGCAGGTCCCCCACGTGTCAGAGGGAGAGACTTTTCCAAGGCCCTCGGCCAATGCTCAGGGTCAGTCTCACTGCAAACCCTGCCAGGAGGGCCAGCGGCCACCGCCCCTCAGTGATCACTAGGGAAGATGCTAAGCCTGAGGGAGGTCCGCCCCACTGTCATCTGTGCACCAGAGAGAGGTGGCCGGTGCGCCGCCGGGCTCTCCCCAGCACCCCACCAGGGAAGGCTCCCGGAGAGACTCTGGATCAGAACTTCTGGGTCCTGGATGATTTGTGTGCAACCACTGGTCTTCCCTGTGACCTGCACCCTGTCACATCCCCCCTCCTTCCGCTGTGACCTGCACCCTGTCACATTCCCCTCCTTCCACTGTGCCCTGCACCCTGTCACATCCCCCTCCGTGCCTGTCTCTTCACTGGCCCATGGGGGCTGCTGACTGGGTCACATGGTGGAACTCACTGAGCTCCCGTGTATCCATAACTCACATGCACCCCTCAGGCCAAGAGAGGGGAGGGGAGGCCAGGCCGTGGAGCTGGGGAGTGGTTGAGTGGGGCCTTGAGCCCAGTCCCATCCCCCGAGCCAGTGTGCCCTTGCCCAGGCCCTAACCCTCACTCGCCCTCCTGGGCTCACAGGTGACTGAAAGTGCCCCAAACGCTCTGAAAAGTAAAAAGGGCCCGACCAGGTGATGGTCAGTGAATGGAGTCATTTTTCCCAAAACTACTTGGCAACCCTGGCCTAAAGGGACAACGGGACCCTTCGCACCGTGCAGAGCCTCTGGGCTTGGAGTCCAGCCTGCCCGGGGCTCTCTGCTGGTGACCGGGGCTGAGCCCCAGCTGCTCTGAGTCCCAGGCGCCTAATCCCGGCCCCTGCCCAGCACACAGGAGGGGTTAGGTGGGGTGGGGGTGTGCTGCCTTCCCGTCTGTCCCGTCAGCCTGTGGTCACTGCCTCCCCTTCCCTCCTGCAGAGGCTGGACCTGGGCAGGAGTGACCGGAGCCGCGGGGTGCCGCTGGCCTTGAGGCTCGCTCACCCGTACAACAAGCTCTGGAGCCTGGGCCAGGACGACATGGCCGTTGGCAGCAAGCCCCAGGCCCCCCCTTCCGAGAAGCCCTCAGCCCTGCTCGGGAACGCCCCGGCCCAGCTTCACAGACCCCAGAACCGGGACAGCATCCTGGACCTCGGCGACAAGGAGGCGGCACCCGCCCCTACTCCGGGCAGTATCACCATTCCCCGGCCCCAGGGCAGGAAGACCCCGGAGCTGGGCATCATGCCCCCGCCTCCCACTGCCCGCCCAGCCAAGCTCCCAGCCGCCGGTGCTGCCCTCGGTGACTTCTCCTTGGAGTGGCTACAGGCGGAGCAGGACAGGCGCACAGCCCCGCTCCCCAGTGCTGCCCCCCAAGGCCCCACCAAACCGCTCCAGCCGCTCAGCCTGGCTCCAGGGTCTGCGGCCACTGGCAGTGATGCCCTGCTGGCCCTCCTGGACCCCCTTAGCACATCCTGGTCGGACAGTACCCTTCCACCAGGCCCTACAGCCCCAAATGTAGCTACCCCATTCACCCCCCAGTTCAGCTTCCCCCCCGCGGGGACCCCCACCGCATTTCCACAACCATCGCTCAACCCGTTTGTCCAATCTGTGCCAGCGGCACTGCCCACCATGTCCCTGGTCTCCACGCCGGCCAGGCCTTTCGGGGCCCCTCCTGCTTCCCTGGGGCCAGCTTTTGCCCCCAGCCTCCTACTGTCCAGCTCTGGCTTCTGCCCCCCACACAGATCTCAGCCCAACCTGTCCGCCCTCTCTATGCCCAATCTCTTTGGCCAGATGCCCATGGGTGCCCACACCAGCCCCTTACAACCACTGGGCCCCCCAACAGTTGCCCCTTCAAGGATCCGAACGTTGCCCTTGGTCCGTTCAAGTGCCAGGGCTGCTGAGGCCAAGCAGGGGCTGGCCCTTAGGTCTGGAGACCCCCCACTCATTCCTCCAAGACCCGCCCAGGGCCTGGAGCCAGCACTGCAGCCCTCTGCTACTCAAGAGGCCAGAGACCCCTTTGAGGATTTGCTGTGGAAAACCAAGCAAGACGTGAGCCCGGCCCCGGCCCCAACCCCAGGCTCGGTGGAACAGCTTAGGAAGCAGTGGGAGACCTTCGAGTGAGCCAGGCACTGAGGCCAGGCAGCCAAGCCCAGCAGGGCTGTCGCTACCCCAGCTCCCAGGCCAGAGGCCCTGCTTCTCCTGCCGCTCCATTCTACCCAGGCTCTGCTGGTGAGGAGGGGTGGGACCCTCTCTGCCTCCTACTCCCCTCCACACGCCCATCTCTGAGGTCTGGCCTTTGGAGAAAGGCATCAGTTCTGGCCCGCCTGCCACCATCTCTCCCCAGCACCCCTGTTGGGTTTTGCACTAAAAAGGTCAGCTGGGCCAGTGATTGCCCCAGGCCAGTCCTACCCACCTTTCCTCTGGAAACCTCCAGGCCTCTCTCTGTCCTGCCTGGCCCGGCCCTGGACACCCCACCACCACAGGCGCAGGTGTCAGTGTACCTGCAGCCTGAGTGTGTCTGCACGAGACACATGGTTTGGAGTTTGAAGTAGGAGCTACTGGCGGGGCATTTCCAACCCTCTAGCAATACACACACTGGTTCTTTGTGGGTCTTCACCCCAAACTTCAGCTGTTTCTGGCTTGGTTGAGAGTTGGGGGTGAGGGATCCTTGAGATCCCTAGTGATAGCCAACCCCTGCCCCAGCCAGCCCTGTGTGGGCTGGCAACTCTGGTTGGTAGACGGAAAAATAGCGACAGGTTAATCTGAGTGCATCTGAAGCTGGAGTCAGGCCATGCCCGGCGCTCTCCCTTGATCCTGTGGGTTCTCCTGGTCTTGTGTTTCTAATGGGGCTCAGCCTCTTATCTTGGGGGCTGTTGGGGCAGAACTGAGCAGCAGGCACTGTTCCAACTGGAAGGCCAAGCTTGACCCAGGAGTCCGACTGCCCGGGGTCAGGAAGGGGCGGGCCCTGCGCCCTCCTCCAGGTCCCGGGGAGGGGACTAGCAGCCGGGAGGAAGGGCTGGAGCACCCGCCCTGCCCCCTCGCAATCTCGCCAGCAAAGAAATTCCTGAGGCCAGTGTTACCAAAGCTAAATTGAAATGTTTTGTTATTGTTTCTCTTTCTTTTCCTTTTTACTTTATTGATTTAATGAATCTTGAAATTGACTAGTTTCAATAAACCAAGTTGAAATGTGACCCAAACATTTAAGAAAACAACCATCTGAGACGTGCAGGAAATTGTGAGCATTTTGACCTGATTTCTCATTTCCTATTTGTGTTGGCCAGACCGTCTCAGAGGTATCTGATGGGGCAAGGAGGTCTCTGGAGGCCCCCAGAACCCCAAGGAGCCTTGTTGGTGACTGAGGGGCTGGGAGGCCACCCCTGGGTGGGTGAGGCCTGCCCTGAGGTTCGCTCTGACAAAGGGGTGCGAAGAGCTGCTGGTCCCGCACATGGCTCCTCCTGGAGTCAGCCACGGCCCCTCAGGCAAGTCTTCTGTGAATCTCCCAGCTGCTTGGGAGAGGGGTGTCAGGTGGGGCTGTGGGTGCCGCCAGGACACTCAGGTGTTTCTGTAGATTCCAGTTCTGAACCCGTTGGGGACAGGGCAGCCCATCGGTGGGCGTATGAGTGAAGCCGTACTGTGGCCCCAGGAGCGGAGCCCACCCCGTGATCTCTGGCTGCACTGGGGCTGGTGGCTGCTCCTTGTTCCCATGAGCAAACCAAAGGAGGAAGTTCGTGTGAGCGTTCAAGAAAAACTCCTTGGGGAGAAGGCTGGTACCCTGTGTCCTTGAGGAAGGGAGGGAGGGAGGCCTCAGCCACCTTCAGGACCCCTCCTGTGGCGGCAGCAGCCAGGGAAGCATCTGACCCCTGGCCCACTCCCAAGCTTGTTCTCATTTGGGCCTCTGAGCCCAGCTCGGCCTCTCCCTCCCAAGCAGGGCATCGGGTGTGCTGGTCCCAGGCCTGCTGGGTCCCGGAGTAGGGCTGCGGGTCACCTGTGCAGAGGGTGCCCAGGAAGGAACACGTTCAGGGGGCATCTGGAGGTCTCACTAACGAGGGAACCTTGGCACCTGCAGCTCTGCCGTGTCGTGTTGGTGTTGGAAAGGGAGATGCACCGAGTGGGTGAGAAGCACACCCATTATCTGTCCCCTCCCCCGCCCCAGGCTGCCTGGAGAATGACGGTGCCTTAGGAGCAAAAGGAAACAATGGGCTCCCCCCAAAAAAGAGTGGCCCAGATTTTATATGTTGGGGTTCCACAGAAAATATCTTAGGATCCGTAGGAACAAAGGTTGGCCAAATCATAACCACAGCAGTGCTGTGGCTCAGTGGTTGGTACCAGAAGTGGCCGTGGCACGCTGGCACAGGAGGCACTGGCCTGGCACACAGGCAGGACAAAAGGGCTGTGAAGCCCTGCGGAGGTCAGGCACTCAGGCAGGTAGGTATCCCCCGGGATCAGAGACCCCAGTGTCAGGGCACCACCGAGGAGAAGAGGGGAAGCAAAGTTCCTGCATGTGTGACTGCAAGACGAGCAGACAGGCGGCGCCAGCACACCCGAGGGCCTCCCTTGAGCCCTCCCCTGGGCCCTCCCAGAAGCCTTTAGCGATTGGGCTGCAGGTGGAGTGGTCCCCGCAGAAGAGCTGGGAACCCAGAGCTGTGGGGGGAGGGGCTGCTCCTTCATCCTCATCCCCTCAGGGAGGCCCTTACCCTGTCTTTCCCTCAACTCCTGACACCTAAAAGGACACCCAGACAGCCTTCACAGCAGACCCGAGTTCAGCGACTTCAAGTTCTTTCCCACTGTCATCCCCACTGATCCTCACAGCCCTGCCTGGGAGGGGGCGGGCTGCTCTCCCCCCTCCAGTGACAGGCCCTGAGGAGGCTGCCTGGCCCAGACACCAGCAGCACCCCCGCCCCCGCGCCTCCTCTGCCCTGGCCGTGGTCTGTTCCTGCAGACGGTCCTGAAGCAGCATTTGTCCAGGGAGCCAGGAGCACCTGGCCGCTGGCTGTGGCCTCCCCGATTCCCCAGCTGCCTCCAGAGGAGGGAGACTGGGACGGGGGCCTTGGTCCTTGGGCAAGCCCTAGCCTGGCCTCCACGAGTGTTCATCCTTGGCTTGCCCCTGCCCGAGCGGTGAAGGTTGTCCCCCCGGCCCAGCCATCCCCTCGTGGGATGGCCTGCACCCACTACAGTCACCTGCACGCACAGCAAAGACGTGGACACACCCACGAGCCCAGTCCAGCACACACACCCATACTGCAGATCAGCAGTCCCCAGGTACACACCAATACCGTGTGTGCAAGTGCGCGCGCGCGCATACACACACACACACACACACACACACTCACTCCTGAACACACCCTGTGCATCACGTGTGCCCTGCCCTGCACAGCTGCACATCTGCTGAGGCAAGGCCTGCTGGGCCCGAGGGATTCGTCCAGCCTTGCCAGGCCCTCTCTGCTGCCCTGAGTGCCCCCCTTTTCCTCAGTCCACGGTGGGACAGAGGCAGGGGGTGCCAGCAGAGGGGACACTTCTCCAGCAAGTATGCTGGGCCCTGCACCAGCTCCCAAGGCCTGGAAGGGGCAGCCACGTCCCAAAGGCCTCCTGGAAGCGGCCTCCTCGGGTATCCAGGTGGAAACTGTCCGTGGCCTCGTAGGTGCTGGCGCTGGCAGCCAGGCCTAGATGAGTCTCTCCTCGGGTGGCACCTTGAGGACACTGTCCATCTCCAGCCGGGCCCCGGCCACCTCCTGCTGGCTCGGGCTGTAGGTGCCCTCTGACTGGCGGCGCTTTCTGGCTGCCAGGATCCCTGAGAGGAGGCCCAAGAGGAGGAGGAGGAGGCAGGCGCAGGCTGCAGGCACTGCCACCTCCAGCAGCGGGAACGGCAGTGGCCGTGGCAGGTCCTTCTGCAAGAGATAGGACAAGGAGGCCTCAGGTAAGGGAGGCGGGGAGGAGAGAGCAAAGCGGGCACAGGACTTGCTCAGAGGAAATGAGCGCTAACAGGGAGGTAGTGAGAGACCTGGCCCTGGGGGTATACAAGCAGGTGCCAGGGAGCCACCGTCAGAGCGACTGCCAGGAGATTCCTATATGACAAAGGGGTTCAGGCTGGAAGGACCCCCCAGTCCGAGCTCAGCACAGGGCGTGGACTGCACGGAAACCTCACACCGCGAGGTGAGGCAGCAGGGAGCCCTCCTCACTCCAGGAGCTCAGAGTCTGCTTTCTCTGGTCCCTGGTGTTTCCCCAAAAGCCGGGAGCAGGGCCTGCATGGTAGGCCCTCGGTGGGTAGTAGGTGAGAAAACAGGCTTTGCCCAGACTCCCCAGACGCGTGACTAGTTGGTGGCCAGCGAGGACTGGCACGTCTCCGTCTGCCCCCACACCATGCTGCCAGCCTTCAGCTTCAAGTCCCGGTCAGGGCCCTCCTGTCACGGCCAGCGCGGGCCTCAGTGCCCAGCCCTGCCATGTGGCTCCTCCTCCCGACAATAAACTCACTCAAGCTGCGGCAAGGGGGACTTGCTCCCTCCCCGTCCTGAAGGGTGGCCTGGTGTTTGAAAGTGACCATGAGACCAGGCTTCACCCCAAAGTGGGAGAATCTTAGGCAACAGCCAGAGAGGCTGACTGGCTGATGGCGAGCGCAGAATCCAGCTGGGCCTGCTCCCCCTCCCCATGGAAGCTAGACCGGGCTTTGGGGGGCCCTCCTCTCCGTCTCCCCAGTCTCCCAGGGTTTCCCCATCAGGGAGTCTGCAAGGCTGGAATTCTGAAGTCCCGGAATCACAGACACCCAGGATTCCAGAGCCACAGTCTCCCTCTCAGGCCCCGGTGACCTGGGCCCCAAGCCCAGCACACAGCCCTGGAGAAGGGTCCAAGGCTGCAGATAAAAGGGGGCCCTCACCAGCCGCCACCAGGCACTTCTGGGGGAGTTGTAAAGCCATTATCTCCCAGGGCTCTGGGAGGGTGGGTGGGGGAACCAGAGGCTGTAAAGTTCCACTTGAAAGGAAACAGTCCCCAGAAGCAGAGGGAATTTGCAGGTTTATGACCCAGGCTGCCAGAAGCCTGCGGAGATCAAGGCTCCTGCCCAGCCTTCCCTGCCCACCGCCCCTGCAGCCAGCACCCACTGTGGGTTCATGCCTGCAGGGCCAGCTCCGCCCCTTAGTGGGGAGCCCACCAGAGGGAGGTTCAAGCTCAAGCTGCCCGTGGGCCCCTCCGCAGCTGAGCGTCCTGGGGTCAGGGGCCAAGCTCGCTCTGGCTCAGACCTGGGCTCCTCAAATCTTTGTACTCTAGAAGCCCCCGGAGATTACAGCCTCCGTGTTCACCAACCTAAGTCCCTGAATCCCAAGATCCTGTGGGTCCTGAATCCTGTCCCAAATCGGGCTTGATGGAGCCCAGCTATTTCACTGCCAGCCCCCAGGGGATGGTGGGGACCTCCGGGCTCTCCCTGGAGTGAAAATGCTTCCTGGGTGGGGTTCATGGAAGGGACCTGGGTCTCTCCTGCTGCTGTCCACCCCACGACAGGGTTGGTCCAGGAGCAGCCCCAGGTGCAGCACAACTTCCCCTACCCATCACCACCACCACCACCACCACCACCACATCAGCTAATAAACTCCAAAACCCCACCCCCTCTGGCACAACTCACCACCACTTCACAGAACTGGCCCGAGAACCTTGCGCCGCAGACACATTCGGACGCCCCAGCAGCCACCCGGCAGGTGCCCCCATTCAGGCAGGGGTTGGCTTCACAGGAGAGCTGACACCTGGGAGGCAGAGAAGAGGGTGGGGGAGGAACCTGCTTCCTCCCTGCTGTCTCTTGTTCCCCCAGCGGCCACCTTTAGCTCCTCTAACCCCCTTCCCAGGCACCGAAGCTCATCCATTCACTGTCCCCGCCTGGCTGGGCCCTGCCGGGTGCCGAGGCCGCACGTGATCTCCATCACTGCCCGCCACCTCTGCCCCCGCATTCATGACTGAGAAGGGCTCACTCCACCAGAAGCACAGGAGAGCCTGTGCAAAGGCCCGGGGATGCTGACTCCAGCTGCAGCGGGCCCAGGACCTGCACCGTTACAGCCTCCCCAGGCGGTCCTGGCGCAGGTGGCCTGTGCAAGGGCCCCCAAGAAACACCACCAGGCCACCCCTTCCCTGCAGGGTCTGCAGAGCAGAGGGTAGAAGCCCCAGAAAGTGACCGAGGGGGGCTGTCAGGCATGTGATGACAGTGAGAACTCAGACGGTGAGTACCCCACTCTACCCATCCTGCCCAGCTCTCTACACTCACCAGCCACTCTCCAGGCCCTGCCCCAAACCCACCTCTGGCCAGCAAAGTCCTCCTGGCAGCTGCAGTTGGCACCCTGAGGCCCACCCTCACACGGGCAGGTGACATTCAGGCGGCACCCCTCTGGCAGGACCGGCAACCTGGGGAGAAACAGGCTAGACTAGGGGCAGGACGCCTGGGGCTCTCCCACCCTCAGCCCCTCGAGCACAGGCCAGCGGAGCCCCTGTGTTGGCATCTGTGGACTCAGGGCCACCTCCTACAGTCCCTGGTGTCAGTCAGGCACGTGGTGTCTGAGGTGGCCACAGCGCTGTCCAGCCCCGCCCCGCCCCAGGCCCGGGATCTTCCTGGGTCCAGGCCTTTGAGAAGCTGACAAAGGGGAAGGGCTCTGCTCAGAACAAAGCGCATTCCTTAGCACAGCGCGGGCCTGACATTCCTGGGGGGTGGGGGGGGACCCAGGAGGTAAGGCCTCCCACAGGCAGCCCTCCATAACCTTCGCTCCAAAGGGCTGGGGCATCGGACCAAGGATAGACAGGGGCCCACCTCACCCGGCCTCCCTCCCGGGGGACCAATGCGGTGAACATCAGCGGTGGGTGGTGGGCTTTTGGGGAAGCTCCGTCAAGGGTTTCTTCCCAGACCGGCTCTGGGTTCCCCACCCTTCACCCCCAGACAGAGCGCCGTTTATCTGAAATTCACATGTATCGGTGAACTCTACCTGGCAAGTCTAGGGGACTGTGGTTGAGGGGGCCGGCCCACAGACCCGGCGCATCCACAGCCCGGCCCTCGGCCTTCCGGCCTCACCCACCGT